TATTTGGTCTATTTTATTAATGTGTCTAATTTGTCAGAACGAGTTTAATAGCTTGAATAGTTAGACGCGATGTTTGCGTACTTCCCCCAAAGGCACCTGCCCCCGTGGCACAAACAAGAAACAACAAATAGGGCTACGTGTCTCCGTCTTATTCTATTTATTCTAACTTTTTAGAACCACTCCAATACTCACAATGATTTAAACATATCTGCCATTTCCCAAAGGGCCCCTTCCCCATTCGGGAAAAGTAGACTAACACGAATGTTTTTACACTTGCCTATTGCAAACATGAATCTTGAATTCCCTAAAATGGCACCCCGCCCCTTTGGACTAATTAGTGCAATTGGACAAATCAAAGAAGTAGAATGATTAGAACAGACACTGAATCTGGATTCCCCAAAGGGTGCCCGTCCCTTTGGAATACTTAGAATGATAATATAAAGAATCATTGGACGAGTTAAAACAGATGCATCTGGAACTCCCCAAAAGGCACCTACAGTGTGGGAAAACTATGGAATTCACCAAAAGGCCCCATCTCTTTTGATAAAAGTATCATACCTAGAGCAAACACGAGTCTGAAATTCTGTAAAAGGCACCCCCACCCCCTAGAGATTACAATTAGAAGAACTAGAAGAATTGTGTTAAATTCAGTAATTTGCAAGATGAATCTTGAATTCCTCAAAAGGCACCCGGTTTTTTGGGTATAATCATAATAATTAGAGAGTTAGAAAAATTGGCACAAACACTAATCTGGAATTCGCCCAAAAGGCACCCGTCCCTTGGGCAATGGATAGAATATGAAACTACTCAGGATAGTTAGACAGGCACCTGTCCAGTTGGGAACAAGTAGAATATTTAGAACAATTAGCAAAGCATGTATTCTCTTATCGTTCTGGATATTCGGATCAATGGGAAAAGTAGTTAATTAGAAGTCAATGAATCGGGAATTCCGCCCAACAGGGCACCTGTCCCTTTCGGAAGACATGAGTAGAACAATTTGAAACATGAATAAGGGCATCCTTCCCCTGAGGAATAATTAGAACAGCTTAAATAATTACAGGAACTTGCAAATAGAGTGATGTTGATTTCCTGAGAAGGCACGCGCCCCTGTTTGAACAGTTAGAATAAGCCGAGTGACTAGAAAAACAAAGGGCGTTATCTGGTCTGTGTTGTTTAATATTCTAATTCGGTAGACTCATTTTAATAACTAGAACAGATACACAGATCTACGCGTACTTCCCCCAAAGGCACCCACCCCTGTGGGAACAATAAGTGAAATGTTTGGAATAATGAGAGTCACAAGGCGATTGTTTAACTGATTCAAGCTTGAAGAAGTGGAACAATTAGGACAAAGAGGAATCTGAATTCCTCAACAGGCACCCGCTCTTTCGGAATAAGTAGAGAAAGTCGAATAGTAGAGAAAGTCGAATAGGAATGATCCGTTGGGGAAATGATTATAACAAATTAAATTAGAACAACGATGAATCTGGAATTCTCCGAAAAGCACCCGAATCATTGCAATTTGAAGAACTGGCAGAATTGTGATAAGTTAGAATTATTTGCAAGATGAATTTTGAACTCCTGAAAAGGCACCCGCCCCTTTGGGAATAATCAGAATATTTAGAGAGTTAGAATAATTGGCACACACATGAATCAGGAGTTCGCCCCAAAGGCACCCGTCCCTTTGGGAATGGATGGAATAAAGAAATTATTCAGGATAGTTGGAGCAAACCTTAATCTGGAATTCCCAAAGGCACCTGTCCCGCGGGGAACAAATTTACTATTTAGAACAGTTTGCAAAACATAGCCCTGTTTGTTCTTTTATTATCATAGTTATTCGATTCAATGGTCAAAAATAGCTAAGTATGAATCTATGATTCGGGAATTCCCCAACAGGCGCCTGACCCTTTCGGAATACATGAGTAGAATAATTTGAAACATGAATCTTGGGTTCCCCAGAGGGCATCCTTCCCCTGAGGAGTAATTAGAACAGCTTGAACAATTACAGGAACTTGCACAACACATGATGTGGATTTCCTGAGAAGGCACGCGTCGCTGTGGGAACAATTGGAAAAATCCGAATGGCTGGAAAAAAAGGGGTTATTTGGTCTATTTTATTAAGGTGTCTAATTTGTCAGAGTGAGTTTAATAGCTTGAATAGTTAGACGCGATGTTTGCGTACTTCCCCCAAAGGCACCTGCCCCCGTGGCACAAACAAGAAACAACAAATTATTCTATTTATTCTAACTAATTAGAACCACTCCAATACTCACAATGATTTAAACACATCTGCCATTTCCCAAAGGGCCCCTTCCCCATTCGGGAAAAATAGACTAACACGAATGATTTTATACTTGCCTATGGCAAACATGAATCTTGAATTCCCTAAAAAGGCTGCAATTGGACAAATCAAAGAAGTAGAATGATTAGAACAGACACTGTGAATCTGGATTCCCCAAAGGGTGCCCGTCCTTTTGGAATACTTAGAATGATAATATTACAAAGAATCATTGGACGAGTTAAAACAGATGCATCTGGAACTCCCCAAAAGGCACCTACAGTGTGGGAAAACTATGGAATTCACCAAAAGGCCCCATCTCTTTTGATAAAAGTATCATACCTAGAGCAAACACGAGTCTGAAATTCTGTAAAAGGCACCCCCACCCCCTAGAGATTACAATTAGAAGAACTAGAAGAATTGTGTTAAATAAAGTAATTTGCAAGATGAATCTTGAATTCCTCAAAAGGCACCCGGTTTTTTGGGTATAATCATAATAATTAGAGAGTTAGAAAAATTGGCACAAACACTAATCTGGAATTCGCCCAAAAGGCACCCGTCCCTTGGGCAATGGATAGAATATGAAACTACTCAGGATAGCTGGAGCAAACATGAATCTGGAATTCCCAAACAGGCACCTGTCCAGTTGGGAACAAGTAGAATATTTAGAACAGTTAGCAAAACATATATTCTGTTATCGTTCTGGATATTCGGATCAATGGGAACAGTAGTTAATTAGAAGTCAATGAATCGGGAATTCCGCCCAACAGGGCACCTGTTCCTTGCGGAATACATGAGTAGAACAATTTGAAACATGGATCTGAGGTGGGCATCCTTCCCGTGAGGAATAACTAGAACAGCTTGAACAATTACAGGAACTTGCAAATAGAGTGATGTTGATTTCCTGAGAAGGCACGCGCCCCTGTTTGAACAGTTAGAATAAGCCGAGTGGCTAGAAAAACAAAGGGCGTTATCTGGTCTGTGTTGTTTAATGCTCTAATTCGGTAGACTCATTTTAATAACTAGAACAGATACACACGATTTACGCGTACAAATACGGCTACGCGTCTTCGTCTTATTCTATTTATTTCACCGAGTTGGAGCCACTCCAAGACTTGAAATGATCTAAACACATCTGCCATTTCCCCAAGGGCCCCTCGGGAAAAATAGAGTAACGAGAATGGTTCTGACACTTGCGTATTGCAAACATGAATCTTGAATTCCACAATAATTGGTGTAATTGGACAAATCAACCGTAGAATGATTAGAACAGACACTGAATCTGGATTTCCCCAAAGGGTGCCCGTCCCTTTGGAATACTTAGAATGATAATATCAAGAATCATTAGACGAATTAAATCAATTGCATCTGGAATTCCCCAAAAGGCACCTGTCCCTTTCAGAAACATGAGTAATAGGGAACTGTGTTCTAATTATACTACTTATCCAAGTTCTTAGCATAAGTAGATCAACTAGCAACAATGAATTGGTTAGTTTCTCAAAAGGCACGCGTCCCTTTGGGAATAACTAGCATAACCCGAATAATCAGAAGAGTGCAGCCAGGAATTCCACGAAAGCACCCAACCCATTTTGAATAAATCGAAGAATTAGGCTAGTTAGAACATCATTGTAATTAGACAGTGAGTCTGGATTTCCCCAGTAAGCACCCGTCCCTTTGGGAACACATGTTAGGATAAAAATGAGAAGTAGAATGATTAGCTCAAAGTGAATCTGGACATTCCCAACAAGGCGCCCGGCCACTGAAAAACAGAATGTTAGAATTGTGAGAATGCTTAGAATGATTAGAACAAGCATGAGTGTTGCATTTCCCGAAAGGAAGCCCTCGCTTTGGAAATAAAATAAGATAAGACAGTAGGTTTAGAAGCAGAATAATTAGAGCAAGCATGGATCTGAAATTCGCCAAAGGGCTCCAGTCCCTTGCGGGAACAAAACAATTAGAATAGCTGCACAAAAATGGAAATTGCGTTGAAGATCCAAAGCACGCCCGTCCATTCGGGAATATTTGGAAGAATTAGACACTTAGAAGAATTGGATTTGGCATTCCTCAACAGTCACCCGCCCCTGTAAAAGTATATGGAGTGAGTCGAATAATGAAAACAACAAGGGGCGTGCGGGTCATGTGAGCCACGCGCGCGCGCCACATTATACATGGTCTACCCTTCCACAGGGGGGGGGGGGGGGGCAGTTTGGGTAGCCAACTGATTTGCGTCAGGTATAGAGGTATGCAGGTTGTATTGCAGGTTGTATACATCTTATATAAGGGGCATATGCTGTGCATATTGAATTGCATACAGACATACCTCCAAAACCTTTGGATGTATATATTGAACCTGGTTCTCGGCACATCCTGAAATGCTCAGCGGGCTTTCGGCTTGGGAAACCCCAGCCCCCCCGCATTTGTGGGATTTGCATGGGAACACATAATTCATAGGTGTCCTTTTAGGGGAAATAGATGGCCCTAGTACATGACTAAACCACCGGGTAAACCAGGGCCAACCAAAAAGGACACCTATGGCATAATTGGCTCGCTTGCTTGCTTGTTGGTGCCTGGACCCTCAAACTACCCTGAAAATGGTTGACGTTGCAGCCCAAAAGGATGGGTGGTCACCAACCCTTTAGGGTAGCTTGAGGATCCAGGTAGTTTGTTTTGAACACAAGCCCCATCCAAACAAGTTGAATCGGGCACAAGTTCACCGAGCTGCTCGGATCGGTTCGTGCCCATCAGCCACCTGACGGGTTTCCCGCGGGGCCGTGGGTTCCTGGGGATCCCATCCTAGAAATGGATATCTTTTCAATTGGGTCCCCTTATATTGACACACATAGATGTAAGAAGGTTCCGTCTTTCAAGAGTGAGGCTGACGTTCAATCCTGAATCTCACTTGGCCAAAAGGCCCCACTAAAGGGCACGCCGGAAAAGAGTCATAGCGGGACGCCTCTGGAGTCTTCCCGAGTGAGGGGTTCGCTTGGAAAAGAAAAAACAAGCCACCCGCGTGCTGCGTGTCTATCCGAAGATTCGATATCCCCGATGAGACTATCGCTTCTGTTAGGTATCTTCCAGGACTCCCAAAACAGAAGGGTAGCCAGCATGTTTGTGCAAACCACTAAGAATGAACAGGACCCCAACACAACACACACACACACACATGCAGTTCGAAGGTCTCAGGACCAATTCTCAGCTTCAGTGTCTCTGAGAGTGGAAGGGTTGTTGCTTCCTCATTAGATGTGGTTAAACTATCAAACTGGTCCTATTTGGTTTGGAGGTGATTCCTGTAGTTTCCCATGTACCCCCTCTACAAGAAGCAGCGGTTCAAATTCTCAAACCACAAATCCAAAGCACAAAATCCAGGTTTGCCTGAACTACTTCGGCCCTTGCACCTAGTGAACCTGTACAGAAAAAGAAAAAAAACTGGTGCTGTTTCGCAGGCTTCGGCCATTTGCCCATTTTCCTAGAAAGCAGGAAAAATCACATTGGACCAACCCGGATGAGGCCTCAAAGGTTTCTTTGGGAAACAACAAACCCTCACAAAGTTGATCCCAGATTCATCTGAATCCCCGCTAAAAGGGGACATCCCCCCCAGTCAAAATCAACGAGGGGTTCTGCTGAGTAGATCCGGGCTTGACTCGCTCGACATTACCCGTAGGATTTGTCTCAACATGGTGCACCCCCAAAATGGTGAGTTTTATGTTGGTGTCCATGTTAAACCACCCCAAAAGGGGGTTCCCTCAACAAAAAGACGGTCTAGCGATGCCTCCAGGGGCGAGATCTCTTTTCTTTCTTTTTTTCGCCTCCAGGAAGCTGCCGAGATCTTCGATGTGCTCCCCCAAGAGCGTAACCCGGTGCCGGAGCCTGAGCTGAGTTGGAACAACCAGATGTTTTCACGGTAGATCCCGTGTATCCCAGTTCTGTGCCGAAGACCGTCCAACTTCAGTTTGGTCAAAGGGTGGTTCCGTTGGTTACCTATACAGGGAAATGGAATCGGGGAGACACATCCCTTTTTCAGGGGTTGAAATCAATATCCAGAAACAATGGAGGGAATTACCCCTGCTTTTTCTCGATGCCAAGCCCTGATTAAAAAAGCTGGTATTGACTCGGCAAAATGGTTTTTCTACATATTTATGTACCAACTACGGTCAAAAGGAGGCGTGCAGTTGGAGTAGTGGCAAAGCTGAACTCCTAGAATTAGGTGTGTCGGTTTCCCCATTGGCCCAGTGGCTAAGTACGTTGTGGGTTTTGAGGGTCCTTGAGAATTCGCGCAGAAACACCCAAGAGATCTGAAAGGGCCGAGTCTGAGCTCAACACTCACCAGCAGGTAAACCAACCAAACTTGACCAGCCCTGCCTTCGATTCTAAGGCTTGAGACTCCGTTTTCATTCTCTTCACCCATCGTTCTCTTTAGAATCCGACTAACCATTGCCCCAGAGGAATGAAACATTGTTTGAGGATAGGGATCCTTGAAGAGAATGGGCAATGATCCTCGACAAACGTCTCTGGACCCTCTTTTCGGCGACCTAAAAGATAAATGCCCAGGCGAACCTCCGTGAATCCTGTTTTCCAAATAAGTACTTGAACAACACGATGCTCGAAAAGCACGGACATGGAATCTTTGGTGGGTCCCTGGACAAGCCCAAAAAGGATTCCAGTTGTTGTGTCTCTTGCTTGTTGGGTGCCACTTGAAATTGTCAACCCCCCCAAAAAAAAACAGTCAGGGAGTGACATCATACCCTGCACACGGTTGAGGTTGCTCCACAAAGGGTCAAAGGGTGCTCCCTCCGCCCCGAGGAGCAAAAGGTCGATGACCTTCTGAGACGGAAAAATAAGTACTCCAATTGCTTGAGTCTGGAAAAACAAGAGCAGAGTTCCAGTAGCGATTGCCCTTTACAACCAACAGCACAACAAAATGCATATTCAATTCCGAGAATGGAATCCACTTGTTTCTAAGCAATCGGTCTCTCCTCGGTTCGGTCGGTCAAACACTCCTTTTCTCCTTTCGATGAACGCGAGCTGCCATGGCAGTGGCGAAAGCCACCAGACGCTTCCCTTCAAAAAACCAACCGAAGGTGGAGGAAAACCAACATTGGCTCAGACTCTTCCAAGAAAGGATGATTGTTTCGAACAGATCGGTGGTTTAATCGTGTTGAAACAAGTTAAATCGTCCAGCACTGCCATGACGACTCGACTGCCAATGGGCGTCCGTCTGTGAATCGCCCAACTCTATTCCTCAGCACACGCGTGTCAAGGAGAAAAATCAAGCTAATTCACACCCAACAAATTTGGTGGTCAACCTTAACAAACAAACCGCCTAAAGGGCGAAAAGGACTTGCGACTCTTTGGGGTTGTGGGGCTCGAAACACAGGAACACAAACACAACTGTTCAATCTTTGGTATGATGGCAAAGCAAACTGTGCTTTGCAGTCCCCCCCCTTGATAACAATGAACAGAGCCAAAAACACAAAGCCTAAAACATACATGTCAAGAACAGTCAGGATGCCCCGCAAAAACCAAAACGGAGATTGCTCAGCGACTCCCCAAACAAACATGGCCTTGCTTATAACCGGGCGGCTTTGTTTCTTTGTTTTGTTCCCAAAAAAAGACCAGAGACGTGCAAGGGCGAAGCCCTGCAAAACCACGCTGTTGCCTAAGGCCTTGGAATGAACCAACATTTGCGCAAATGAGCTTGGTTGAAATCAGCTTCCCAGGTTGGCTCATCGGCTTAGGGAAGCCCCTGAGGGAACAATCCTTCCCCCCCCAAAACAAAAAGAAAGACAAACAAACAAAACAACACAACGGAAGAAACAACAAAAGTCCCCGAAACCTCCAAGTACCCACTTGTTCATGGTACATGCACGATGTTCACCCTGGCTTCAAGAAGAAGGTACATTTGCCATATGGAAACAACCACAGATTGTTCCAAAGAATGTTGACCCTGGCTAAAAAAGGAGGTAGTTACCAGCAAAAGCCAGCAGGTACTTGGAGCTTTCGCGGGGTTGCCATAGGTTTTGCTAGGCTTCCGTCCGCCGGCATTTTCCCAGTGCGTCGCCAGCCGCAGAAAGCAAGTGGGCCACTTTCTGATGGCCTTGCCTGGGTCAAATACCGACCTATTGAAGCTCAATAGGACGTACTTACAACGGAATCCCGCGTTTGTCCACTTTTACCAAGCAGTTGTTTGTCTTATTGTTCAAATCCCCTTCAAGTAGGGAGGTAATATTAAACATACAACCAAACAACTCGGTTTAGGGTGTCATGGTTTCCCCTGACCAAAAAAGGAGAACAAAAGCAGGTAGCTGGGTTACAACCCCCTTCTTGTAATTTTCTCAATGGAAACGTTGATGATCCAAAAACTTGGCTTAGATTTCAATGGTTGGTTGTAGCTCCAGAGACATCGCCAACTGTCAATGTTTTTAAGCCTCGGTGTAGCTTAAGCAACAAGAACCGGATTTCGCGGGCAAGTTCCTGGACCCTCACACCATGCTGGAAAACGGAATATTGCGATATTGCCCCAGCATTATGGGGTGGTCTATTAGTTTGAGGGTCCAGGTAAGTCTTTGAACTTGTTTGCCCCAGTTCATGTTTCGGTGCGTGCAAACACAGTCGTTTGCTACAATTCAAAGGGAAAGGTCAGGGGTTGACATGAGTCACAATCAAAACCTGGTATTTAAATGATCTACCCAGAACCACAAGAAGAAGGCCGCAGCTGTTTATGGCTGGGATCGGCCCTTACTAACCTTCATCTAACCAGGTTTTGATTGTGGCTCACATCACTTTAAGAAAGCGGGGGGGGGATTTAAAAAGGAGCGCTGATTTTGGGGTCCGATCTGAACTGTCAGCTTCCCTCTTCTCATTCCCCATGCCCTCGCGGTTCCATTTCCCGGGTGCAGGTCACCAATCGAACCTCCCGCTTGAAGCCAAGAAGCTCGGCAAAAACGAGTCGAATCCCCGATCCAAAGCAGTCAAGGCCTACCTGAAACCAGAAACCGAACGAGTGGAAGGCCAAAAAGAGTCTGAACTGTATGCTGTCCACTAAAATTATCAACGCCCAAACAAGCGTAGTCTGTAAAACTTAGAAAGTATAACGAAGATCAGCCTCTTTTTGCCTGGTACCTGTGTTTGGCTCCAAGGGAAACCCGAGACCCCAAGCGGCCATGGGGAAAACAGGGCACTCTTTTTCTGGATGGTGTATTTTATGGCCAACCACCCTCCCCACAAAACATGTTGAACAAACAAAATGGGTGGTCGTTGATAGGGCCGTCTCACCCCCCCCTTAAAAATAAATAAGAAAGAACACAAATTGGGCAGTTGATACCGTGAATGGACGAAATCCTTGCAATCACAGCAAATAGTAATAAATAATGGTTTCCCATATGGTTTTCCAAGTGCGAAATGGATATCGTCCATCCACAGTAGGGTTTTCCAAGTGCGAAATGGATATCGTCCATCCACAGTAGGAACCTTCCCCCCAAAAAGAAAACACAAAAAACAAAACAAAACCAAAACACTGAATACACATCCCCCCCCCAAAAAAAGGAGACACCAACACACGCATCGGGCACCAGAAGAAACGCCGAGGTCTGGGAAACCCAACAAAAATCCAAAGCCATTGCCGGGTTTCAAAACGGCCAAGCGCAGCGCCGTCGCATTCTGCGAATCCAGCAGGTCCTCGCTCGCGGAGTCGCGAGGACGAACGGATTCTTCCATTTGGCTTAAGCCACCTAGAAAAGGTTTTAAAATATGTCCAGGAGCAATAGGTTACCTTTAAACCCACCAATGGAAAATGAAACATAGTCTTTTGCAAATGGAAGATTCTGGACACCCGACACCCCGCAGAAAAGCTGGTGTGTCTTTTGTTGGAGGGTACCACCTGGAAGCCGGTCTGTTGAACGTGCACCAACAAGTGAGGACACATACCCAAATGGGTGCAGGGTGCCAGCTCTTGACTACCACAAGGCAGACTTAGACCAAATAAGTCCGGCAATGCAAGTAGGTAAATGGTCAACCACACAATCCAATCAAAGTGAAATCCGGCAATTAACAAAATAAGCAAAGGCAAAACGAAGGAACCCAAAATGTCAACAAGCAAATAAGTGAAGTCCGGACCGGGCGACCCGGTCGGTCCTTGTTAGCGCCGGCTTGCAGCAGGCAATCCACGACTTCCGGATGCCCGTTCTTGGCAGCGAGGTGCATGGGAGTCCTTGCTGCCCCCCTCCCCCGACTTGAGGCGTTCCACAGAAAGCTCCAAATTTGGAAACACCTGGTGTCTGGTGGTTAGTATATATATATATATATGTATACATATGTATATATATATATATATGTGCACCCTGCCCCATGGACTCTGGTTTTACTGCCTTTTGGGGATTGGCTTCTCGAAATTTCCAATTGTGGGTCCCCAAAGCCTCATAATTTGGAGCCCGGAGTCCTTCGAAATGTCCCCATATGATACCCATTCCACCTAGGATTTTACTTCAACTAGAAGTGGAATTTTGAATGCAATTTAGTTAGGGTATAGTTTATTCCACGTGTTTTCTGCTCTTTTACAGTTTAAACAAACACATCCTGTCCAAAATAGGGGCTCCAAATCCGCCGACCCCATGCCAGGTCCAGAATGAACCATGCTTTTGGCATGGGGGCGGTGTGTTCTGTGTTGCTTTTGTTGATATGTTTTCTATAGGTTTAGCGTGAATATAGTAAAGGTCCCTTAGGGCGGGAAAATACGCCGGCTGGTTTTACGGATCTCTGGATCTCTGCATGTCTGGATCTCTGGATCTCTGGATCTCTGGATGTCTGGATGTCTGGATCTCTGGATTTTTAGGGGATCTCTGAATCTTTCTCTGGATCTGAATTTCTGGATC